ACACACTCTCAGCAGAGTTCACATACTACTATCACTGTAATTTTTACTGTAATTGATCTAAAAAGCAATAAAAACACTAAGCTTGATTTCCACCATAAAAAAAAAATACTTTATGCTATGCCCTTTAAGTCTCAAATCAGAGTTTCATATAGATCTTTGACAACTACAGACCACTTCATTTGCAAATTAAGTTTTCATCCTTCAAATCTTTTCATCCTTTTTCTAATCAGAACACATTTTGTTGCAATAACCAACAAGGCCAATCTACAGTCCTCTTCAAGAAAAGGTAAGACTAAAATTCCACATTCATCTGAAGTAATTTTGCACTGGCCTCCTTGACTTCTGTTGCCAGCATTTTCTTCAAGTTGCCAGCATTGTGGTTTTGGAAGCCTGGTCTAAAGTAACAGCCCAGCCTTTGACTGGATTTTTGTAGAATTCTTACATGATATCTGTGAAACAACTCACCCTCCCTAAACTTTTTCTTTTTTTTTTTTTTTCAGGAAGGCTGTCAGTGTAGGAAGTAATCAGATCGAAATCCCATAAATAGCTCATCAACAATTACTCTTAACAGGTTTTCAAAGTGACAGCACAGATTACTGCATCAAGGAAGGACAAGAAAGCACATGAGAGAAGCAATACTGGTCATACATGTAAACATTTCCCTTCATGCTCTTCTACTATTAGCTTCCACAAGGGCAGGATCAAGCATGTTATTACAGTAAAGAAAAAAGCACACGGGCCATATCTTGTAGTCAGGATGCAGTAAGTGTATCAGTCCCATATTTAGAAAAGTCCAATTACACTTAAGTCCCTAAACCAGCGTACGTAACATTGAGTTCTACAGAACAAAAAAGTAAGTTATGTATGGCACTTACATCTCATGGCAGAAGAAAACAACAACTTCTAGAGTTACATTTTACATTTTACATTAAGATTCAAGGGTTTTACGTAACAATGGTTGCTTGATTTTTGGCAGCCCCTTTTAAGCCTTTGTTTCTTTAAAAAAAAAGTGAGTGGAAATAATTAATTAATATAGTTAAATAAAATTACCAGAATTAAGCAAATAATTAAAGGCTTTATCTAAAGACTCAAAAGTGAAACTATTCTGTCACAGAATCATAGAATAGTTAGGGTTGGAAAGGACCTTAAGATCATCTAGTTCCAACCCCCCTGCCATGGGCAAGGACACCTCACACTAAACCATGCCTCCCAAGGCTCTGTCCAACCTGGCTCTGAATACTGCCAGGGATGGAGCATTTACAATTTCCTTGGGCAACCCATTCCAGTGCCTCACCAACCCTCACAGTAAAGAACTTCCTCCTTATATCCAATCTAAACTTCCCCTGTTTAAGTTTTAACCCGTTACCCCTTGTCCTGTCACTACAGTCCCTAATGAAGAGTCCCTCTGCAGCATCCTTGCAGCCCCCTTCAGATACTGGAAGCTGCTATGAGGTCTCCATGCAGCCTTCTCTTCTGCAAGATGAACTGCCCCAACTTTCTCAGCCTATCTTCATACAGGAAGTGCTCCAGCCCCCTGATCACCCTCAAGGCCTCCTCTGGACTTGTTCCAACAGTTCCATGTCCTTTTTATGTTGAGGACACCAGAACTGTACACAATACTCCAAGTGAAGTCATGCAGAGAGAAAGACAAACATCAAAACCACAGAGAAGTTACATTTGAAAAAGATGTATCTTCATGTTAAGCAAGTGTAACATTTTTGTTCTTGCAAAATTTCAAAATTTTTTTTGCAAGTTTTCAAAAAGAATAGTATTATTCCACATGATAAAGACCGAGCATTTGTACATGTGAGCCACCACTCTACACCATGGGATTTTACTCTAATGAAACTGACAAGAAAGCTGAAGTTCAAACAAAAGCAACTACAGCTATCCTTGTCATTGTCACCCTTAACAAAATAAGTTAAAAAAGCAAGTCCTCTACAAGTGTTAGGAGGCAAATCAGAGGCAACATCTTGAAGAAACAGAAGGGTAGGTTAACATCCCTGTGACTGAAAACCTCTGCTGCATGAACAAGTCCATGCCTCAAGTCATCATAAGAACCGTAAATAAAGTAGATCTAGATCATCCCCTTAACCTAAACTTGCGGAACATACGTAACTACTCGGGAATCTTTCAACTGTCTTAAGGCTTTTACACGTGTAACTTTCTAGTCCACTGCTATACAAGTGGAAAACAAAACACTTTCTACAGCAGAGCTTTTTATTTCCTTGGCATACATAGCACAAAAGGCACAGTGACCACTTATCAGGATGAGACTCAAAGTCCAACCCAGGACCTCGCTCACAGCTGGCTCATCTTCTCTGAAAAAGAAGATGCAATTTTTCCAACAGTGAGGAAGAGGAGGCCCTGAAGGAGCGGGGCCGGAGCTGCTCGGCAAAGAACGATCACGATGGGCAGGGGCTGCCTGTCAGGGCAAAGCGAGGGGGGATTTTCCTCAGGGCCCCTCACAAAACAGGGTGGGAAGGAGCCTTCAGGACCCGGCCCTTTCTCTCTCAACACAAGCAAACCCCCCGCGTGTCGGAAAAGACTTGTTGGCACGCACCCCGGGTCGCAGGCGAAGCGAAAGGTCACCTTGCCCGGGGAGGTGGGAATGAGCCCTGAGAGAACCGCGGAGTGGCCGGCGGCAAACTGGCTGCGACAGGAGTGGGGGAGCCTCAGGGGCGACTGAGAGGCTCCGGCCCGGCACGGGGGCAGCACGCAGCGGAGAACGGGACCGACGCCGACCGCGACCGCAGCCCCAGCCCCGAGCAGATGGGGTGAAGCACTGCAGCGCTGCCCCTCGCCCCCGCGGTGGCGGGGCGGAGCCCCGAGAGGGGCGTGAGATAGGGAGGGGCCCTGCAGGGCCGGGCCCGCTCCCTGCCGCCCCGGCAGAACTCCGAGCCGAGACTGACGCAGGAGAAAACGACAGCCGGGGCCTTGCGCTGCCAATGCGGCTCTGCCCGTGCCCCCCTGCCACCGGTACCTACCTGGGCTCCCGGTGGCGGCCGCCTCCTTGACAGTGCGCGGGGCCGGCGGGCCGCACGCCAATCGATCCAAGCCGACCGACAGGGGCACGCCTGGACAGGGGAACGCCGAGCAATCGATGTGCACCTTCCCCGCCTCCTTGAGGCGGAGCCGGCCCGGCAGAATTGTGGGGCCGGTCTTGCTCCAGCTCTGTTGCGCGCTGCCGCTCGAGGCGCCGTGGAGCGAGCGAGGATCCTTACCTCACCAGGGCCAGTGGGGCCGCTGTCAATCGCCGAGTAAACAGAGAGGCGGAGCCTGCTTGCCACGGCCGGGCGGGGTCACGGCGGTGCCCACTGGCGCCGAGGTGGAGGAGCCGTGCTGGTTGCTGGTGATTGCGGCAGCCGGTGGTGTCCGTGCGCAGGCTTCAGCGGGTCAGCCTTCTTGCGATGAGGGTGTCGCATGATCAGACACAGTCGTTGGGCAAGGAGCAGCTTAACCTGTGCAGAAGAGCCCGTTCTAGAATACAATCATAGAATCAAAAGGGTTGGACCTTTAAGACCATCGATTGCAACCTTTGCCCAGCACTGCCAATGTCACCGCTAACCCATGGCACTGAGGCCTTGTCTACGCCGTGTGTGAACACTTGCAGGGACGGTGACTGCAGCCCTGCCCTGGGCACCCTGTTCCAATGCCTGAGCACCCTCGGGAAGGAATTGTTCCTCAGCTCCATCTAAACCTCCTCTGGCACGGCTTGAGGCTGTTTCTTCTTGTCCTTGTTACCTGGGAGAAGAAACCAACTCCCACCTCACTACAACCTCTTTAATGAAGACATCAGAAAAGTTAAAGGCAAATGTAATTACAAAAATGCAGCCTTTTTATAAGCAGATGCACATTTTTCCTATTTTGACATAAAACTTGGATTTTCCTTCTGTAACACAGCTCTAAAATTTGGAAAACCCAGTAAATTAAGTGCTGTAACAGAATCCTCCTTTTAAACGTTTTTAAAATACTTTCCACTGCTCCTTCATTGTGGTCCTAATATTGGAAGATGACATGAGAATACTCAGCACAGTGCAAGAGGCTCAAAAGTGCTGTATAAAACTTGGTTCTTGCCTAAATCCTTCAGTTTTGTAATAGTTTCAGTGTGTACATTTGCAAAGTCTTTTCTAAATATTCCCTTCAAGTTCAGTATACAGTTGTAAAAGGTTTCTTCACAGTAGAATTAAAGACCTGTTTGCCAGTTCTCAGTTCCAGCAGTAATACTAATAAACCTTGTAGCTGTTGTGGAAGTTTAACATTTGTATTTTGAAAACCTGCATCTCTTCTGTAGCTGTAGAATAAATGCTATTCTGAAATGCCCCTTTTCAGTCTAAGGCCTCAGCAATAACTACTGCATTTAGTTCCTCTCGAGGTAGACTAGTTTAGTTGGAAGGGAAGTACAGTGATCATCTAGTCCAACAGTAGGGTTTATGGCATAAAAAAGTTATGCGCACTCTATGACTTCACTCCAAAGTAATTCAGACATTGCAAGCCAAGTTGCAAATTCTGGTTGAATACAGACGCCACAATTGTTGGGTAGGTCACAGCTGTAATATATAATTACGGGAATTGGGATCCTGAAAATTGACTTCCAAAACCAAAAGACTCCCACTTGATTCAAGGAGAACCTTAATAATTTTGTGTAAGAGGCAGTTAGATCTTCAGCATCATGCAAGAAGAGAAGAACAAGATTTTCTGGTTCCGAGGTTTGAGTCAATCTCACTTCTTACAGATGATGCTATGCCATCATCATGAGTTCTTTTCCTGAGGTCAATGGGCATGAGCTATCTGGCATACGTATTCACATAGATCTTCTCTAATATTCACTGGAACACAGGGAAAAAATATTTTGGGTTTATGGTGTCATGGGTTAAACCCAGGACAATGGTTAACCTCAAAAATGAGGTCAGAATCAATCAAGGAACCACATTAAATCAGCCAGGACACAAAGATTATAAAGAGCTGTCAGGAAAAGGAACTTACTTTCTACTCCAAGATACAACTATTTAATCTAGATTTTCTTTTCTAAAATAAAATGAACTGTACAGCTAATGAAATGGCGTTGTTCAGACATAATAGTTGTAATCTAGTAAAAAAAGGTTGTTTTATACTTAAGGTTGTTTTGAAGTTTGGTCCAATAATGAGCAAAAGCAAACTGTAATAATGAAAGAAATATCCAGGATGATGAGGGCAAGGATGTCCACAAAGATATGGGATAGGAAACTGAGTGCAGTGCTTTTAAAATTAAAATCAATGGATAATTCATTAGCATTGCATGAAAGTTTAACTCCAGTTTCTTGGAAATGCTGGTCACAGCCATGTTCTTGCCAGGTGGCATACCTGAACCCAGGTTATCATCACAAGGAGTCTCAGGAGAAAAATAAACAGCATAAAGCTAGGAAAAATTACCCATTTTCAAATCTGGTAAAGGTCTGCCTAGGGTGTCACAGAAGAATGGGAGGAGTTGGCCATTCAATTTTAAAAAAAGGCATTCAAGTTCTTTAAACTGCAAAAAACATCCTTTGACTCGCAAAGCTGACAAAAGAGACAAAACCCCTCCAAACTTCAGTGTCTATATTCATCTGAAATGTCAGGTCTCTGTAGGAATGCTACATTTAACATAATGATTATTTTGGAAGATAAGGGGCTATTTGGTGAATGTTATCAGTCAGTCAGTATATGATCTGTAATTTCCTTTAACTGGTTTTCATCCCCACATCTTCAACACCCACAGGAAACTTCTTCTGACAGTGAGCCATGAAGTAAATTATCCTTATTTTCCACTGAGGTCTGAATTTCAGTTCCTTTTTTCAAGAGGTGTTCTTCTCTTGAAAGGGGAATTTCTTCCCCTGTTGGGGAATAATAGGGAGCGTTTTCATAATCCATGCTAGTTGAAGTAGTCTGTTCTGGGAACTGGGAACTGCAGTCTGGACTGCATACTTTAACAATACAAGTCACATTCACCTGCATTCTTCCATTACCAGAATGCCCTGTCAAATGAACAGAAAACACATTCAACAGGGAAGAATGAAACCCAGAACAGGACAGTCATATTCTTTTATCCAGTTCTTTGACTTAACGTTAAACAGACACTAAATATCTTCTTGCTTCACTTCATTTAGGCAGGCTGGTGAAGTTGATTCTGTAACATTTTAGGGATTTTTTGATACCATAAAATCATCCCAGAAATAAAAAAACCAAAAAGCTATAAAAATTAATGCAGAGCCCTGGATCAGAGCCAGCTCCCTACCCATCTGGGGCTACTGCAGCTGCCTTGGGCAATATGCTTTTTTACTGTTCCCTTTGGCTCTTAACTTCCATACACAGGTACATGCCTGTGATCACACTGATCCCCTAGTCTCCAACCAGCTTTTGCTCCACTGAGATACTCTTCACTACCTTAGGCTGACAAAACACTCACTTTTTCTTCTCAGTTACTAAATACTCTCTCTGCTGAACATGAGTTTGATGTTTTATCCTATTTAAACTTCTGCTGAAAGACTCATAACTGATAATCAAATTTCAAGTGGTTCTAGATCATTCTTACCTGACCTCACAGAGTTGTGTCTGTCTATGCTGTGACATTTAACATCCTTCTGCAGCTGAATGTTGCTGCTGAAATCCTTCGGTTGTTTTCTTTTCATTGTTCTTGTTACTTATTACATGGACTCTTGCAGATTCAGTTGGATTATTCAGGGAGCTGCTGCTGGACCCAGAAGTTTGCAGGAGATGCTGTTCCTCATGTTTGGAACTGCTGGAGTTTTGCGATCCAGTATTTCTCACTTTTTTGTCACACTGCTTTTCTGTGGGGCAAAAAGGCTGGAACATTTGAAGAGAAATGCAAAACATTAATCTTTTAAGAAAACAAAAACTGGCCAGTACTTGGGCAACTGAAGGAACCCCTGATAGTTGTTATTTGCTTTGTGATGACTGAGCAAAATTCACACCAGCTCATTAATCGTTCAAGAAAATTAACCTGTTTCCTGAAGGCACCTACAGGATTACACTGGCAGAAAAGGCCCTGTCATCGCCTTCTGAAGCACACTTACGGTTTGTTGCTACATAAGTGAGAATAGTACATTATGCCATTTATTTGAGGTACATCTTGCACTCCAACTTGGGGACCAAAGGACCCTCTTCTCATTCCAGTTGTCTTTCTGCTGTGCAGTTTTCTTCTACTTGTAATTAGATAAGACTACATAATTTCTGTGTAACTTTTAAAGGACTGGAAAAGATGTAAAGAAGGAGTGACACTCACCAAATCTGCTTCTGTGGCTGGGGGAGAGTATACAGGGACTGCAAGTAAGGTAGGACAGTTTATTAGCACCCACATTTGTTTCAGTAGCAAGAGCTACTTTCTTAACTAGTCTGAGGGATGCCCTCTGCTCCAAAATAAACTCCAAATGTACATTTATTACACACTGCTTGAAAATGTTGAAAGCTGTATTTTATTAATTTTGTAACGTGGTTTAAAGTTAACCAGCAAGCAAAGAGGACCCCTGCATGAATTAATATTTTTTCTAGTGTGAAGTCAGAGGGAAAGGGTATTGATGACAATAAACTACAGTCATGACTGATTAATGGTAATGATAACGTCTAATATTTAAGTGAGGAAGTGCAACATATTTAACCAAGCTGCAGTACGAGTACAATTGTTGTGCAGTTGCCCAGCTCCACTCAGATGTTTTATGTTTAGACAATTATCTAAAATCTGAGGAATGAGAGAAATCTGAATGGGACATTTGCCTCACTGTATCCCTGTATTGAGATGAATTTCACCCCATGTAACTTAATAAAGATACTTTAAATTATGAAAAATTAAAATGTGAATTCCTGGAGTGTTTTTTTTTTTTTCTATTTTGTTTTTCTGTAGCCACAAAGCTCATGTGCTTAAGCTGATATGCATGCATTTTCTTTCGGTCTCTCTTCTGTTGAAGTTTTTTGCCAATTTCACACCAATGGAACAGAAGAATTGTGTCAAAGCTCCTCAGGGTTTCATGAAGCTATGGGCTGCCAGCTAATGAAGCAGAAACCTGTACCTCATCACCTTATCCCCTTAGGAAAAAAATTAACTCATACATTGTTCAACATCAAATAATCTCCACATTAACGATACTTCATCCATATCCAGCCACAAGAAAAGCTTCAAACAATGACACCATCTTCTAAAAGACACTAATGTCAGTCAACCAGAGGCCTTAAATTAGTAGGAAATGAAGTGACACTCCTTCCAATATTTACAGAACTGCTGTTTTCACTTCATGAATCTTACCTTTTTTTTTGGAGACTAAGCAATACCCCAGAATACTGATTATTAGGACCAATAACAATGGCCCTGCTACTGATCCTGAAAATAAATGATAAATTAGCAGGTTGATCTGACAAAGGATCCAATGAGAAAGAAGCAGTTTTGTAATTTTCTGTCTAGGGCTACAAAAGATAAATTTGCAAGCATCAGCGTGTCTGACATTCAGATTTGATGCCTCTGTTGTCAGATACCAAGGTCTCATTTCAGTCTTTGTCACTTTATAACATGGAATTTTCCTGTCCTGAAAAGTAAGGACAACCTCAATCACTAAATCAGTCTCTCTAGGGTAGCAACAGTTTGTTAAATACAAGACCAGGCAGCCCAGAATGCTCCTGAATGCCTTCTGGAGAGGTTGTAAACAGGAGAGAACACATCCACAGTTGTGGATGCTATAAGGAATTCCTGTCTCAGGAAAGGCTGCCAGAAGTCTCCAAAGACCTCTCACCAGCACCTTTATGAAGTCAAGTTTGCCTCAGTCCAGAGTCTAGAGATATGACCTTTTCTAGCAACTCCTTCATAGTAGCAGTTCTCAGGAAAAGCCTTGTCTAATCTAGTTTGGGGCTTTTTAGGAATATCCCCAGAATTACAAGGCATGTAGAATGCACTGGCCTTGCACAGATGCACAGGTAAATATTATGCAACTCATTACAGGCAGTGTCATACTGAATTAATTCAGGTATTCGGAGAATCTGTTGGGTACAGGTAATTGATCTTGAAAAGAAATAGAGAACTAAATATAAACTTGCTTCCTAGGCAGACCAGAGTGACTTTAGACATGTAAATAGCTCACCAATGATGTGAGAGTTGTCAGATGCAGAGTTTAAAGTGACAGGTCGAGTTGTTATTTCAGGTCTGTTAGAAGCTGAGCTCTGGGTCAGAAGCAGGTTCAAAACAGTGTTGGGTAGAACTGTGACAACTGCTGTTCCCGAGTCCCTGCATGTAGTGTCATTTATGCTGTTACCAGGAACAGCCACTGATCTGCAACTGCAAGCAGCAAAAAAAGAGAGTTAGGAAAGAATGCAACCCTGTGCACAGTTTGGGTTGCTATTAGAAGGAAGCACTGACTTACACTGTGTGTGGTGCACAGCTGGTATCATAAGATTCCTCATGTGAAAAAGTGCCAGGAGGACAAGGTTTACATTCTGTATCTGTGCTGTTTGTCCCTTTAAAAAAACAGGAAAACTCCAGTTAGTCACCTAGTGAGAATCAGAAATGAATAATCAAGGTCTGTGGTACAGATCCTGGAAGTGATATAGAGACAGTACACAAAATACATTCTGTAACCATCACAAAAGAGATCAATTTGAAATACTCAACCCAAGCACAGCTCAGAGATTAATCAGCTGTTAGTGCGGTCCCCTGGATAGCCAGTCTTTGAAAAGAACTGTAATAAACCCACCAAAAGATTAAAAAGTGGTACTGCAGACAAAGTTGAACTTTTTCATTAGTCCCTGACAGACTGACCACCTATGTTGGAGTTTCTGTATCTTTTCAAGTGATTCTTAAGCTCTTAAAAATACTCAGTGTTCCACCTCTGAATATCATTTATCATCTTGAGACAGCTGATATTATCAGTGGTGAATTTCATCGTCTAATAAAAACAGATTAATTCTGCAGGGTAGCAAAGTGTCACCAATACTTTACCTGCAGTTACATTATATTGTATTATAACTATGAATATGCACATTTGTAACCAAAACCTGTTTCAAGGATTTAAGGAGGAATGAAGTGATCTTGAATCTGAGTTACTTACATAATAAGTAACACAGTAGAGCATAACGAAGATTAAGTTGGGTTAGAGAACTGTATGATACATGGTAGTAATAGATTGCAAAATGTCCCTTTAGATATGCCTCTTGAGAATACTGTTGCTCTAAGTTATTGCCTACTTGCTAAGATAATGCTTGCACTAAAAAGAATGACTAACTGTAGGGAATTAAAAGACTATATTCTTGTAATTTACTGAGTTGGAGGCAGATCCAGAAATAGTGATAGATGATTAACACAAAAAAAATAACCCTCTTCATATAGTAAAACAATTCAAGAATTAGATTACCTCTCCTGGAAACTCAGTAACCTTTTCCACATTTTTTATGTGCTTTACATATTCTGCAGTACTCTTATATTTTCAAAATGCTATACTCATTGGGTGGGCAGCTATAGACTCTGTCCTGTGATGTAGTGCATGCTTGATTCTGCACAAGTCCTGGGTTTGAAACACAAATAAAGCAAGATGTCATTAGCAACATTTAAAATTATAGCTTTAAAGAGAATAGCTTCTGGATAGTATACCGTCATAAAACATATGCATTATATGCTCCAACAGCTACATTTTCAGAAGTTTCCTCTCTTGAAAAAGGAGAAATGTGCATTTGTAGAATGCACACTTGCACCTCTGTACCTGCAGTTGCATTATATTGTATTATAACCATAAATATGCACATATGTGTTACCTGTGTTCATCACTGCAGTATCTGGAGACCACACTAAGATTTGTAGTCTATGCAGGTCATGACTGGATGCTGGAAATGGAATTAGCCATTTATCCCAGTGCAAGTTTGGTCTTAAGCTCCCTTGGCCGATGAGCATAAACAGGAAGTTATTCTACTGATGACGTCTGGATCTATTTTAGTGATACAGTGGTTTAGTTTCCAAGAATACAAGATTGGTGTCACATTTTTAGCACTCAGAAAGAAAAATATGCAGGGCTCTCTGCAAGACTTTTCCCTGATTCTTTTAGCCAGATCTTCAAAGTACCAAAAGCATGAGAAGTGATAGACAAAACCTGCTAGTTTTCTTAGGAGAAAAGACTAGGTTAAACCAAGCCCAGTTTTTGAGCAGGTTCTTTGCTAATTCAGTCCTACCTTTCCTGCAGGGTGGTGAGCAGGCAAAGCACTGAGGAGACAGATTCCAGATTGCTGTATACGTGTTAGGTCTACAGGGACTGCACTTCATGTCCACAGTGTGACTGCAGCTCTCTGTCTTATATTGACCTATTAAAAACAAAACAGAGAAAACATCTCACTGGAAAAGATCACTAGGAATTCTTTAAGGCAAGTTTCATTCTTAGCTGTGGAAACCCCTTCCCATCACTGCTGCTATCAGACTGATAAGATACCAAGCGAGTATTGATTTCAAGGAGGACTGCATGTATGTACAGGGAAACTCTGATGGTTTTTGTGTTATTCATGTTTTCCCCTTTTCCTACATTCAGTTCAGTGAATTCCAGCCATGATCAAAACAAGGCAGCCTCAATCCTGCAGAAAACCCCTCAGCATATACTCAGCTGCAGCTACCAGAGTACATAAACCAAACTTGTTACCTGCAGATAAGCTGTGTTTGGTGGGGAAACAAAGGATGGTGTTTCATGATGAAAGTCAGGCATGTGTTAGAATAATGTGTCTGGATGAGGCCCTTACTAACAGATTGCAGGCAGCAAGTGAAGAAGGCATAATAAAGTATTATCACAAACAGACCTGAATTAGAACTTCAGCACTTGTCATTACCAAAGCAGTATGAGCTCACTCTTTTTTTTCTTCACCTCTTTGGTCAGCCCTAATAGATAGAAGCAACAAGTTTCTGAAGCTACTGGCATTCCAGACAAAATCTAAAGCTGTCAGTTTCTCCAATGCTTCTCACTAGCAACAGAGTTCAGTGCAGTGGTGGGAATAAGCAAATAGGAGTTCCAACATATCCATTTTGGACAAAGGAAAACACTTCATTTGCCATTTCCCCCTTGCTTGAAGGGAGGGAGAAGATAAAAAGTCAATGTCTCATGTCCTGTATAGAAATATCCTGGAAAATATACACAGCAAGCAGGACACTGAAAATCTTTAGAGCTGCTTGAAGAATCTCTGTTCTTCAAGAAGAAGAGCAGGCTGTGGAGGTGAACCATAGGAATTATTTCCAAAGACTTTGTTTTTTGCATGAAGCTTAAAATTCCGCCTCCCACATCCTGCTACTGACTTAGGCTTCAATTTTTGATATAGTAAAAAAAAAAAAAAAAAAAATGTAATTCATAATAACAAAAATAAAGATTTTTAGACTTCCTACTACTTCTTGTCCAAACTTTGTTATTCTAAAATACTAAAATTATGGACAATTAGACTGACCAGTGCATACCACAACAGAAAAGGATTTAACCATTGACTCTTTCATAGATCTTTCATCTGTTGTGTTTTTAACAAAGGAAGTTGGGCAGATCTATCTAGATATTTTTTATTAATTCAAGTAACTGTGGCTGCTTCAGTACATGATTTCCTGCTTAAATTCCTGAATCTCGCTAACAGGAACTCAGCACTTACTGAGACAGATTTTGTTTGCTCAGCAAGTAATGGGGGGAAGGGAAAAGCAATTTTTTGCTGTGTTTAATGTAATAATATTAATGTAATAGTATAATGACAACCTGTTGCAAAACCTCTATTATTAAGAGAACCAAACAGCATTTCTCCTCCCATACCCACACAGCTGCCTTTCTGCAGTCAACTTCTGCTAATAAAAGATCGCTAATAATTATCTCTGGAGTTTAAGACATGACATCTGAAGACAGACAGTTTCTGTAGTCTTGCACCCAGTCTCTGATAGTGGTCTGCAATGTCTGATTTACAGTAAGACAACAAAACTCCTTTAATGAGTAATTATGCATCAACCTGTCCCATAGAAAGTCCCTTACGTAAATGATATGATCAAAATACAGTAACTAAGTTCTACCTTATGCCCTGTTTTACAACGTATTTGTTAGTAGTGGGCTTGGATCTGACACTTGTTATCTAATTTCTGTAATTCCCATAATGAGCTGTTGCGCCCCTGCAGTGTTGACTTAAAAATACTCTACTCAAAACATCATGCAAAGTGGTGCTCACAGGAGCTAAGCAGCCTACCTCTCAATAAGCCCCAGCCAGGTTAACCTGATAAGAGAATTCCAGTTCTGATGATCAATGTGGCTCTTCTACAGATACCTTAAGATTCACACCATTCTACTGTCTTCCAGATAGAGTGCATTGCAACAGCAAAAATCCAGTGCTCTTCAGATATATTAATAATCAAAATGTCCTAAGCTCATCTGAAAACTGACTGAATTTGGCTGTGCAGAGTAATAACTTGAATTGTAACCTACCTGGAGGGCACTGGCTACAACATTTATTAAGCAGCTCTTCATAGAATTCAGTGTGGGGATCTTTGCATTGTGCAGACTGTAGTGTATAAGGCAGTGAATAGTCCTAGGAGAAATTAATGGAAAATCATGAGTCGCAAGTGCATTCTGACCCTCAGATAGAGATCAAAAAAACCCCAAACACTAAAAGATCACTGCAATTATAAGACCCTTCCTTTCCAAGGCGCTGATATGGGCTTGATGGAACAGAAAGTATCAGATACCAAAAAGCTGCAGAACACAGTTTATTAGCTACTTGAGACAGTTTAGAGGTTCCTCTTGTCACAAAGTGATCTCTCCAAGTTTTATGTTCAAATGCAATGGAACTATGGGATTATCATCTCACTTGACCACTACCGCATCCCCTGAACCAAAGGGCTCAGCACCTTTTCACCGTTGCCATGATTCAAACAGCCTTCACCAAAACGCCAGTGAAACCTGAGTTCTTACCTGTGGGTTTGTAGGGAGAAGCATTTTCTGCAAAGTGGCTATGTTAAAAATGATACCTTCTTACTTAGTAGGTTGACTCCCTATACGCATTTAGTACCCTATCTGAAAACTAGGAGGTTGGCTTTGCTAATTGCTAATTCCCTCAGGCTTCTTGTGGTGGTGGAAGAGTGAGCTGTGGACCTGGCACTACTGCAGTACTTGAAGGAACCTTTTTGGTTTCGTCAGCGGGTTCAAAGGACCCTGGACACTAAATTCAATTCTTTATTGTGCTTATGTTCATTATCACTTATACCCATGCAATATCCAGGCAAGGTAACCCATCCCTTCAGTCAAAGAACTTGTTCTATTAGAACTGTTTCACCAAAGAAAAGATAAAAAAGGCTTTTATTAGTCCAGACACTTGTGATTCCTTTATGAATGAGAAAGGCTTTGATGCTTGAAAAAGATGTCTCCAAAACTTGCACTGAGGCTTCTGAAAAGGAGCAACTGGCTACAAGACTTAAATGAAATTAAAAATCCTACCTCATATGGTAGGTCAAATACATAAAAAACAGTCATGAAATACAGTATATCTAATTTTTCAGCACATACCAATCAGCACACCTCAATGACTTGAATGAACAAGTGATAAATATTTCAGGACCTACCATCTTTTTTCAAAGGGAAAAATAGACACACTCAGAAGAAAAAGGCTAATGCTATGCCATACAAGTGTAGGGGCTTCCTGAAAGATCAGAAAGATGCTGCTTAAAAAGTATGTGTCACAGCTGAGTTTTATGCAGTCTGAAGAGATTGCTCCATGTATAAATGACACACATTTAGAGACGTACTTTAAAAGCATTATTTAAATGAGAAATGGAAACAGGAACAAGCTCTTGGGAAGCCAGTAATGAAAATATCCTTCCTTCTAACTGAAAAATACATGTTGATTATCTATTGTGTCTTCACATTAGTAGACTAAAACTTCCCACTCAGCAGTTTTTTAAAGGGGACCCAATATTTTCTTATGCAGCTTGTTGAAATATTTCACCTCTTATCTATATATATAGAGGAAGGAGGGTTTCACTTATCTACTCAATGATCAGTGTCAAAAAGAACCTTTCCTGAGAACATGAAGGCAAACAAAGGCCTTCTTCATTTTCAATATTCATTCCAGAAAAGAAAAAAGGAAAACTATTTCATTAGAAGTTTCACAGCTCCTATTTACAACACTGTGAAAGCTGGTGGCACTGACCAGACATCAGGACAATTCTGGTCTGTTCTCACCACTTCAAGACTCAAACCCAAGGAGGCTGGGATGGGTTTCACCATTACCAGCCCCATTTGCTCACCATGAATGAGAAACAGCCAAATTGCAAACTGAAGAACAAATTTGTAAAGAAGCTTTTAACAGGCTAGAAGCTGTGATGAGGTGGGGAAGGATTACCAGAAAGAACAATAATCTTTCTAGTTCTTAAAACACTGGAGTGGGTGAAGTAAGAAACAGCTGCTGAGCACAAGCTGCATTTTACAAGTTCCTCTCTGTGTCTTTTGCTGAGAAGAAAGCCAGTTTTGCAGGAACCATGCTGCAGCCCGAGGTATCTCCAGACTCCACTTTGGCCTCCCATTTTTGCTTTCCAGTTAAGTAGCCTTATTTAAAAGGGCTGGCACAAAGACTGAGGACTTTGAAGCAAAACCAAGAGGGTGGCTTCAACATTATGGGTCTTATCATTATTCATGAGAATAACGCCCATAGCAATTCAAAAAGAAAACCAAGGCTTTTCAATACCTTCTAGGTTCAGTAATAACTGTAAATGCTGGGCTTGGTATTTGTAAATGTGAGCTAACACTAAAATCTGTTTAAGGAGGAAAGCTCTGCCCTCATCTGAAGTATCTGTCATTTAAGTTACTTTCTTGTTTATTAAAAAAAATAAATATCACATTTTTTGTAGTCACTATGATCAACTTTATTAAAACAAGCACTTGAGAGTCGCTTTGAGACGTAAAACTTCACTGCAAAAGCAGACACGGGGGGGGGGGGGGGGGAGGAGAAATACACTAAACCACATCACAAATTATCCTGCTAGTGAAGCTTCCTGGCAAAAAAATTTCTTATCTCATCCTCTGCATTATCTGTCGTAAATACTGCCCTGTGATTTAAAGACACAGGAAAACAAGCTGATGGGTTCACATCCACCTCTCTTAAGTTGTGCATGAAAGTATCTCTCTACTGTCTGATGCAATCTCCCTGATATTTTATCTGATGAGCTGTGCTCCCAATGACATGCAGTTGACAATTTCTTGCCAACTGTCCTCAGAGAACATTACGGGAAACAGAAAGGTACTTGTAACTCACTTAGGTACAATCTGTAAACACACACACACACACACAGACAAGCTCAGCTTTGTTTACGCTAGATGGATGCCATTAGTTTTGGTAGTTATGTCCAATGTGAACTAGTTTACTAAAAGCTGTCAAGGTCAGCAGTCACATCTACTCTGTTGGAGGAAATGTAGGTCTCTTACTAGGTATAAAACTCTCCTTGATTTCTTGGTGATGAGACCCCCCCACTTTTTCTAGCCATCTCTCTGATTTTAAGGTCTGAGTTGGGAAGTGTGATATTTGTATCTGGCATCCAGATCCATTGGCTACTTTGGGCTGAAAAAATGATGAATCTATTCCACAATCTTTGCATTTTGTTACTGTTTGTATCTCTCATAAGTTCTTATTTTGTTTTCTGCTTTTACTGTGATTCAGTGTTTTATGAACAAATTGTGTGAAGGAAAACTAACCTGATGCTGCATCTTTTGCATTATAGCCTTAGAACTTCTCAGATTAGGTAGTGATGTCTAATGGCATCAGACCTTTAAGATATTTATACAGACAAAATGAAGACTTTGGAAGACTTCATTTAATTTGACAAGTAGGAGTAAAATGCCTCATCTGTCAAGCTGCAGAGGCACACATTATTAAATATGAAATTTAGTCAACCAAATTAAGCAATGTCTTTTGGCACAGAAATAGGTAAACTGCTTGGCTTTGCTTACACAACTCATAAAGAAGATTTGTGCAGTGCGTGTGTATTAACCAATAATTAAGAAGTGACATGCAAAAAAGTCAATGACTCAAGGACTCTGTCCAGAGTCCCTTCATCGTCTGAATAATTTTCCCATCTACACTACAGACATCCAGTAGATCTGTGACCTAATTTTTCACTGGAGTGGACTAGCAGCAGTTTCCATACAGAAGGTTTAGTACAGACTCTTCTAAATACGTACGCACAAACAGTTGTTTCCAGGATTCCTTATATACTACCGCCTACCCATCGGAAGCTAAAACTAGCAGAGAACATTCCTGTATCTTATGATTTTCAGGCCTGCAGCTGTATCTGTGCTGTGTGGAGCAGCACTGGTGAAGGGAAAGGGTCTGAAAGCTGTCCCCTGCACACAGATATACCAAGGGCAAGCACAACTGAGACCCTCATGTCTGCACCAGAGCTGAGCCCAAGCCATGAACTACTAAACTAGACTTGGATTCAGAGTTCTTCCAAATTAGAAGGGTTTGATCCAATGCACCAACCTGGCTCTGGCTATTGGTGAGGAAGCCCAGGTCTCAACCACTCACAGCATGTCATGAAGTATTGCATTCACTATGTGCTGAATATTAATTATAATGTACAATTTCTTTTATTTCCAGCCTTAACAGCTTGTCCCTCTATTCTTGGACTTTATGTGTAACTAAATGTAAGTATCTTCTATAATAGAAATAAAACATACCATATGTTATTAATGTATTTAATTTATTAACAAATTTATTAATATATCAATATAATAAATATATAGATATTAGTGAATTCACATAACATTAATTTTCACCTAAGAAGGCCATTCAAAGAAAGATATTTAAGTATTTTAATCCTAACTCATATTTTTATTGATTTCTTTTTCATACAGTTATTTTCTTCAATCTTAAGCTGTCAAACAAAGGAGTCTGAACAGGAACTGCATCTGGTGTGTAATGTTGTTTACGCATATGAAACCACAATGAAGTCACCAAGGATTGTGGTGTTAAAGTCTGTTGCTATGGAAAGGACTTGAGGTAGAGAGATACCTTTTGCTGAGCTACCAAGACTGCTGAAGACAGGAAAAAACAGAATTCTGTTCAAAATACTTAAACTGTTCATTTACAGAAATAATTCTGTTAAAGATTAGTCACCGGATACCACCAAGTCTCACCAAAGCCAGCTGGAGTTCTATCTGGCTGTACCAACTATATTCAAACCATAAAGCTTCTTCTGAAGCTGCTTTCCTGCAAATATCTAAGATTATGGGTCCATCATATGAACTGTTCTCCCATCCTATATTGTACTTCTGTAGAGCAGGAATTCTTGAATAGCCACATACAAACAGATTTGCAAGTCCAGATTCCCCCTTCCTGAGAACACTGTTGCTTTGCTTACTGTTAGGGATTCTACTTCATGCTACTCACCACCGTAAGACAAAAGCACATTCCCAGAAAGAGATGGGAAGAGGCTGCACAGAATATGGAAGCTGTTCACAACATATAACATAATAGAAGCAAGCTGAAGTTTGTAGGAAGACATAGTATGTTTTATTATATATGCCCTCAGGAAAACTTACACATTTTCAGGAATACCAGCTCTTCTGTATCAAAACTTCAGGTTTATGTATCCAAAAGTTGGTCAGTCTTCCCAAAGGTTGCCCTAATAAATTATGTTATCCACTAAACCTGACACAGTAACAGGCACTGTCAAAGCTGATGAGTCTTAAAGGTGTACCAGCCGGAAACACTGCCAGAAGGGATAACTGTCTTCTATCAAGGCCAACTGCCAGAATTGGCAGTTTTCTATTGCTTTGAAACACTATATTCTTGAGATAGTGGTGCTTCTATCACAGATGGCTTTTGCAATGCTCTATTAAGACTTTCAATCACGAACTTTGATACAACAATCACAAGTGTGAATATGTACCACAGCAAAGCTGCTGTTCACCCACAGCCCTCCTGCCTCTGAAACAAGTCCATGAAAGACCATTGAGTAATTCTGCATTCAGTACACATTTCACCTGGTTTCCCTGAACCTTTGTTTTATCAAGGCTGAATTAATACAAATAAACACGTATCTAACGTACACATCCATGAAACAGCAACAGCCTGGACATCTCAGCACCACTTCCATGTTTATCTTCACAAGGCAGAACAATTTAAAATCAGATAGAAAAATGCTATCAATTCACCAGCGCAGCATACACACAATCAAAGTCCAACAGATCCCATCAAGCACTTTATTTTAAATACTTAAAAGCATTCATTTGCAAACAGTGGATATAGAAGAGAACGTCCCAGCTGCATCACGTCACATCTTAGATGTAAATTAAAGGGCTTTTCTATGTAAATAGGGACTAGTTTTAGGGATCCAACACAGCACAACGAACTCTTCCTGTTTCAACAACTCTGTAAAGCACATACAGATTTATACTCTGCACTTGCCAGGACACTCATAGTTTTTGCAAACATTCAAGAGTGCCTCAAAATTCAACCCATTTCCAATGAAAATCTAGGAAAAAAAGATTAGTCATTGCTATGGGAAGCCAGGAAATAACGACATAGCCAAAGGGAGCAGAATGAACTTTAACGAAGCCTAAGAACGGGGGCTGAGGCTCCTGTAGGATCACAGCTAGGCACAAGCAGAGGGGTACAGCTACCTCCAGGGACTGCCAAAACACGGTTACAGAAGCGCCCGCGGTGCCCACGACGCCGGACTCGTCCCGGCTTTGCAACCGGTACGAAGGTCCAGGAAGCGGCGGCTGCCCCCGGCTTGCCCCGCACTCACTTCTGTCCGGCCGCTCGCGGCGTGGAAGAGCAGGGCCCAGCCCGGCCCCATTCCTCCGCCGAGTGCAGGGCAGCGGTCGGCTACAGGGACCTTGGTCCCGGCTGTCTCGGTCCCGGCACCGCCCCGCGGCAGGAGAGAGCAGCGCCACGCTCAGGTTACGCAGCGGAGCTGCGAGCTGGCCGAACAGAAAAGGAACTCCAGGCGTCTGTCAAGAGACTCCCGACCGTGGGGGGATCTCTTCAGCCGCGGGGGTGCTCCATTAGCCCCCGAATCCGAACTCACTCGTTACAGTGTCCCAGCGTTCACTGGTACTCACTGCAGCACGTCTCCTCATGCCTGCTGCAGGGATGGTACAGAGAGACTTCAGTGTCAATTCAGCCCTCTCTGCTCTTGAGAAGCATTCCAGTTGACTAATAGCCTCAATGGCTTTCTTGCAGAACAAGTGTTTTTTTTCTGCAACTGATACATATGCTGAAATTATCAACATCAAAACATTGATATATCAGACAAAAAGTGTGGCTGTGTCTTAAAATCCACCTAATTTTTAATTCACAGATTGCCAGCATTACTAACCCAACCAACTATAATACATCTAGCAGGTTGCAGTGCATATAATTCACCTAGAAAGCTGTTCCAGTAAAAAAGATTTCTTTATATACAGTTAAAATATCAGATCATAAGTTGGTTTGGGACCGTAAAGCTCATCCAGTTCCAACAGGAGGGAAACCTTTCACTAGAGCAGGTTGCTCCGAGCCCTGTCCAACCTGGCCTTGAACACTGCCAGGGATGGGGCAGCCACAGTTTCTCAGGGCAACCTGGTCCAGCAGTTGTTGTTACAGAACACCCTCTAACCATCATGGCCAGGTGAACAGAGTCATTCACAGTACACAAATTGGTGTTGTCTAAAATGAAACAGAAATGCCTGTGTTTTTCTAGAATAAAGTGTGTGACTGGAAAACAATGAACAACCTTGACTGAAAGTGAAGGAAGAGGTTCAGTATTTGTCCCACTCAGTTCTTTCCTCTTCCTTGCATTGCTGTTTTATGACACAGCTCGGTGACTTGGCTTTCTGTTGCACAACAAGCACTTAAACCAAAAAATGTGAATTCTATTTCTTTCTTCACCCCATGTAACTGTCGCTGACAGGCAATACTGATAGCCAAAAGACATTTCAATCTGAGCATTAGGAGCAGCTTGTTTTCTGAAAGCAGGTATAAACACAGAAGTGCACAGAAAGAATTCAGTTATTGCCTCTTGCACAAGATTTGGGACATAAACTAAAATATACAGTGGCAGTAGTTATTTTTAGAAATTATTTTATATTCTAGACTTGCACAGAAGAGTGGAATTCAAGAAGACTGGAATTAACAACACTTGAAATTACACCATGCTCAAATGTACTATAGGTAGATTGTCCACTGATGGAAGTCAGTGGCTTGGTCCCATAATGCTGAGATTCTCCTACCGCATCTCTGGGGCTGTGGTTCCAGAAAAGTAGGAATTTCTCTGGATTTAATTCTTCAGTCACAAAATCTTAATAACATACCTTGCCTTATAGTGTGAGGCTTACTGGCTACACAAGATCCAGTGGACCTACTACATGGGTTTTCAAAAAGCCTTTGATGAGGTTCCACACCTAAGGTTATAGAAGACCAAAGCTGTCACAGGATTGGAGGAAAGGTCAGTTTGTGGATTTACTAAAAGGTAACAGGATACTGAAGTTATGGCTGTTGAAAAGGTAGGAAAGAAAGAGCACAGCATAATGTTCATTTTTCAGGGTAGAAAACAGTTTGCGGGGGGGATTGGTGGGGCCAGTTCCATTCAATATCTTCATCAATGATCTGGAGAAAAGAGCACCTACACAGAAAAAGCAATACTAAACTTCTCCAGGGAGTTACATGACAAGGGAAACAAAGACAGAAAGAGCTCATAAAAAGGTGGCAAATCAGCTTCTCATAGATAAACACAGGGCAATACATCTAGGGAAAAGTCATTTAACCCAGGCATACATGGTACATTCACATCTAGCAGCTACCAGAGGAGCCATCCTGGAGGCATGCTTGACAGTTCTCTGAGATCATCTGCTTAGTGTGCAGGGGTAGACAAAAGAACACAAACAAAATGGTGGGCGTCATCCAGAGAGGCACCAATAACAAAACAGTTTGGCACCATGTAAAACCTTGGCCTACCCCTCTTCAGTACAGTGTGCGCTTCTGGCCTCCAGGTGTCCAGAAGAATATAGTGACATTAGGGAAGATGTGGAAGAGGTCAACTAAAATGACCAAGGCAGTGGAACATCCAGCTTACGTGAGAAATATAAAAAGGTGGGAACTCAGCTTGGAGGCTCAGGAGGATACAGTCAATATTTATAAAAGCACCAAAGTATTGCACAAAATTCTGCAATACAAAAAATAGTGGCACTCACTGAACTTAGCAAGACATCGGTTTTAAAGTGGTAGAAGTACTTCTTTATGCAGTGCATGGTAAAGAAGCAGTCTTTAGTCTGTTGCCACAAGTGCTCCTGGAGGCAGATTGAACCAGGAAATTCAAAAGAGAGAAGAAAAACTAATACGCAATATGAATGAATGCTAGACTGGGACAAACTCTTCAGCATTCTTAATCCAATTACAATGGATGTTGTTGGAACTCAGAAATGTGAACAACAGATATTAACCAGGCTTGTGTGCTCTTCCTAATTAGCATCTCCTTACCATGACTGTTAGGGATAAAACGCTTGGCTTCTGCTATCAGACTGCCCCAAGGTGGTTTTTATGCTCTTAAGGTTTCTTTTCGTGTGTTCTAGGACAGAAGTTGTGCAGTTGCACAGCTGTTAACCACAGTACGCTGGCCAGGGTGAAACTACAAAGCAAATAGTTGTTTTTGTGATTCTTTTTTTTTTTGACTATTAAGGCACACTTTGTCATCTCATTCATTTTTCCATTGTCCTATGCGAAAACACAGCACTATTACATTTGCAGTTAACAAACAAGCAGTGTGAAAGATTGAGAAACAGCATAACACAAGCCAGTTGACCATGAAACAGATCTATTTTTAAAGATTAGATATGCAAATCAGTTTTACCCTGATGATTATGAGCAATTCTAAAACGAGATATTAACAATGTCATAGGAAACTACTGCTGTGCCTGTTTTTTCAGTCCTTTTTTTTTGTAGAAAGATAGTTTTATTTTCTTCATTTCCCTTTTTATAGCCTCCACACTGGCCTAAATCCACAATTCATCCAACATCCAAGTGTTCAGCCAGTTTGGCTTCCATCCAAGGAGGCCATTTTGTACACTTAATTGATGATGTGAAGTAATTAAAAGACATGAATCAGAACACAAGGCCAAGAAAGAGTGGCCTAAAGGCTTATTTGCCTTCTGTTTTCTAGGTCTGCGTGGCATCTTTTGATCCTATTTCCTCAAGAAACATAAAGTCCACAAACTTAAGAGTTCTGTTTGTGGGAAAACTGTTAGGGAAAACTGAAATTGTCATTACTTTCAGTTAAGATTTGAGACTTTAAGAAAAATACCAGATGTTGCAAAATACAAGCCAAAATTAAAAGTACTGACCATACTGGAATAGAAACAACACATGAAACATGTCCGAGTCTCAAGCTTAACTCAGAATTCTGGCTAGAATTTCCATAGCTAATAGAACTAATCAGATATAGATTTCAATCCATTCCTTCATGCAGAGAAAACAAGCTGTGAAACTTGAGTTGGCATCCAGATGTCTTCCGAATTTTGTAGCTTTGATCCATATTTGTTTCCAGTGTGATACTGGGAGAGAGGGAAAGAGAAATACTTGATGTCAGATATGAAGACCAACAGCTTGGATGATCCCTTAGTTTGTTTGATGAAGTAGGTTCTAGCACTCCTCATTTGAATGTATTGCAGTGCATTATATGGGTTTTCAGATAATCTAAGGCGCTATGTGTTTACCTCCCTTCTAGATTCAGGCTTAGTGTCGCACTGTAACTTCACACATCTTCTCAGTGGGTTATCTATCACTTCTCAGTGGCAGTGGTGGGGTGATGAAATTCCTTTCCCTCCTCTTCCACAGGAACCATGACATCATTCCATGGAAAAGACTCTGTTTCCTGCTCTGGATAGTGCATTGCTAGTTCCTCTTCCATGTTTTCCTGGCCATAAACATTACTTTCACATTCTCTAGCCGTACAGTTCTTGCCACTAGGCACTTCTGAAATGGACCCCACAATAACAGTGTCAGCTTTCATGATGTATATTTTTTCTGAGGAAGGAAAAAAATAGTGCTGAGCGTAGTTAACAATCACTGCTGACCCTAGAGATGGTTCCATTTCATGCAAACTTATATTTGGTTCACAGATTTTCTTCCCCCCCCCCGCCTTCTTTTTTTAATCAGAAGCCTGCAGAGCAAGCCCATCACTGTGAAAATACGTAATTCACTAACCCACTGATGTTTTTGGGATTTGCACATTATAAGTTGTCTACTTTGTTGTTAATTTAGAAGGTGCTTTTAAGTTTGAAAACGAAGCACTGGACATACTAAGTGAAGGCCTGCACATTTTATCCTACACTGTCTGTTTTTGGAGCACTGGCAATGGGACTCTGGGCATTTTAGATCCAGTAGGCCTAGCTCCTATGTGATGAAGCCACTGTGCTATGGCAAGGACTACAGGAGAAAAGCAGATTAGAAAAAGCAGAAAGATATTCACAAGAGAAGAAGCAATTAATTGGGATCTGGGGAAGATAGATTTGGAGAACCCAAGATTTATACTCCTGCTGTTTTGAGAAGCAAAAATACTTGCATTAAAAGCAGCTTTTGGGCAAGGATCAGGACTGTTCAGAAGTTCTGGGTAATTATTGGGGGTCCCAGGACCAGCAAAGAATGAGTTCCTTTCCAGTGGAGAATCAGCTACAAAATTTTCTGGGATAGACTTGAACCTTGTGTACAACTTGTTGACCCTTTACAAAAAGTAAATAAGGCCTTTGCTGTGGCTTGGACCACTACATTTTACTCAGAAGGATGCTGCAGATCAGACACTGTGGTTATATATTGTGTTAATATATATGTGGTTAATATT